TGAACAATAAAGAACTAGTTTAGCTTATTGATAACTCAAGCTTCCCACAGGCAATATAATCTTGATTGTCAAGATAGGTTTGGCTTCTTGTTGTTTTTTGTTGCTTTTTTTTTTTTTTTTTTTTTTTGTCATTTGCTGTTGTTGTATATGAACATGTGTGTGTCTGCCTGTTATATTAAAGCTCTTGATTTCCATGTTACTGAATACACCACCCTTTTCACAGGGGCATGGTTCCTGGGTTGGGATTACCTCTAAATTCTAAGCTTCCAGATGTTAACAGAAGCAAAACCTAGGAAAGAAGAGTTCCCATATTTCCAAATGAAATGAGGCAGAACAAATGAAAGAGGATCCCTTGGCTTCTGCAGAGAACTGAAAGTGTACATTACTAAGAGGTATAGCCATGTCTGTGCAAACACAGTAACTCATGTCAAATAAATTGTACTTTTTGCAGGAAAGAACTCTAGCTCAGGGTTTTCCAAGCTAAATTGCATGAAAACACACAATCCTTTTTCTTCTTATTTGAACTGTTAGATGACGGGGCCAAATTACCAAAAAGACCAAAGGCAATTTGCAGCCTTTAACAACTGAAAGGACTTATTGCTTCCAATTTGGAAATACAAAAGATTCTGTGTCTACGCCAAACCCTCCCAGGTCCCATGCATTTCCCATTAGATCTGTGAAGAAAGCAAGCGCATCAGTAAAAAAAACTATATCAAAAGTCTCTTATATTTCAGAAATGGAGAAAATGTTGTCCAAGATATGTAAGGAGTTACTTCCAACAGGACTTAAAATATATATAGAGAAAATATTATACTTTTCTCTGGCCAAATGTGGTCCTGCTGTCCTTGGCTTCTTAGTGTCATTCAGTCCTGGACTAGCAGGAATTATTTTACAGATCCAATCAAAAGCCATTAAGTCTGTAAAGGTAGTCAAGCACTATTCTCCAGCTCCACACTGGAGAACCCAAGGGAGGTAATGCATCTATTTTTCAATACCTGAGGCCATTTTGTTTCCAACCTTAATTGCACTTATGTATTGGTTTGGGGTAAAATATCTCCACTTATCTTGCTCCTGTTTCCACTATTTCACTATTAATACAGAGCTTAGGAAACATAATTGCAGTGTGCAGTAGACAGCGATTTTCATTAACTACACAGAAGAAAACTGTTTAGGGAGAGACATTTCTTTCTTATTGATTCAATCAAAATGACTTGGAAGAAAAGGGTGTGCTTATTAAATTCTTTTCAAAAGGTAACTGTTAAAATTTAAAATCTTTTTCAACAGCATTTAAAAAACTGGTATATAATCTCTTCTGATTGTCATTTATGAATTTTTGTTCTGCCCAGTTCCTTTGAAATATGTAACTTTTATTGGCCTTAAAAAATAATAGCAAAAAAAAAAAAAAAAAAAAAAAAAAGAAATAGAGAAGGGGAGATTTTTACTTGGAAGTAGAGAATGTAATCAACAATGCTCTCTGCAAGACATGGAGTTGCCTAGCAATGCTATGGGAATTAAAAGGGGGAAATAATAACAAAACAGAATGTTGTGAAGTTACAAGAGGGTATACTGTTAAATCGGCTTGCAATACTTATCCAGAGGCCTTTAAATGAGAATGATATAATAAGATTTTCTAGCAATGGTATAAAAAATGTGGGTGATAGTTTTTCAATGTTCTTCCTTTCATTTAGAGCAGTTTACCCAATGGGATTTGCTATTTTGAGTTCATGATTAGGCAAAATCTAGGACAGACATTTGAGAATCAATCATAGGGCTCCTTGGAACCAGTGGTATGTGTGTCTTTTCCGGTTGGGCTAAATGAGTATAAGATACATCAACCTTTCATATTCTCCCATTGATGTGTAGGCTACTCTTTATGTAGTTGATTCTGTTCCCTTTGTTATGCTATCCCAAGTTTCAGAGTCCTCCTGTCAATTTTTCAAGCTGAGATCTGTGATGGTGAGACTACTATTGTTTCCAACTCAACTTCTCCCACAAACAAGTTTAATCATCCAGGTGCATCCTATATTCCAACTATGGAGCCTGAAGTCAGAAACCTGTCTGACCCTAAGACTCAATTGGTTTTCTTCTTTTTCTTTGATTATGTCAAATCTTTTCAAGAAGAAAACTGCTCCTGCAATCCTGGAAATGTCTCTACACCTTTGAATGGAATAAGTTTTTATCTAACAGTGCCAGAAACATGACACAGAATAAGGAATTGGCCCTTACAGAGATGGCAGAAACAGGAATAGAGATATCCCAATGAATACATGCAGCGCTACACCCTTGGAAGACTGAAACCCTAAGCAGATTCATGATGGATCATGTACAGAAATCCAAATTTACATGAGGAAAAGTACTTGTGGGTGTTTTGATTAGGAAGAAGAACATACTAATTTGTAGGGAAAAGTTGTTTGTAGTGTTAAAAAATGTACCTGAAGTCAACACAAGCAACTGTGGCTTCTAGACACAGCTACACCAAGAACTAGTTATACCTTGTGGATCACAGAATTTTTAATGTATAATTAGGACTGCTAGATTATCACTAGGATCTCTTGTAATTCTCAGAGTTGGATTCCAAGATTCTAAGCAAGCTGGGGTCTGAAGAACAATATCTCTAAGACAGGTACCTTTGTAAATTCCTCATACAACTCTAGTTCCAATCTGGAAATGAATGGGGGGATTGTGATAGGGCTTTTATCTTCAAACATTTGCATTTCTACTGCAATCCCAAATTAGCTCAAAACTGAATAATGATTAGCACTCTGTGTGTATATAAATAAGTATAAAATGTCTAGTTCTCTACCCTTTCCTTCTCTGACTTCTAGGCAGAGACAGACTGTAACCTAAATATGATTTTTTTAATTGGTTGTTCAAAACATTATAAAGCTCTTGACATATCATCTTTCATACATTAGATTCAAGTTGGTTGATTTTGAACAGTTTTTCCTTGCTCTGGAACTCAGCCTACCCTGAGTTCCTTCTTCACTGGATACAGATGTTCTTCTCCCTTTCTCATGAAGAACTGTGTCTAGTTGCTTTTCCTTTTCATATCAGCCTTTCTCTTGAAACAGCTCCTCATCTCCCTGGCTTCATTCTATACTGATGATTACCAAATGCATTCTTCTGTCTGCTCTGAAGTCTGCCAATTTCTACAACTGTTATCTCTCTTGAGATTCCATAAGCACTTGAAACTCAGATAGTCCAAACAATGATCTCAGATTTTTTTTCTTGCTGATGTAATTATTCCTATGAATTGCACTACTATTCTAGTAATAAGTTAAATTTTATTCCTCTACTGTCTTTATTCATTTGGTCAGCTGTAACATTCTATGTTATTAAATAGTCCTCTATCAACCAGATATCTACTTCTTACCATTATTCTAGAAACAGATCTCCTTTCTTCTCACCTGAGCTATCTGTGTCTAACTTCCTCATTCTTCTTACCATTCCAGACACTTCTGCCAAATTTAGCCTTTGAAGCACAGCTCCACCCATTATACTCTCACAAAACAATACAATCAATCTCTGCCACCACTAGCACATCCATAAAATTAAATAAAGAACTCCTCACTCTGGCATTGGAGGCTTTCCATGCTATTAATTAAACTAAATTTTCTAGCTGTCAGCTGCTATTCTCCTACATTAATTTTATATTTCAACCAAACCCAATTTCTTGCTGAACACACACTCAGTTTCCTCTCATTAGTTAATGTTTGTGGCCTTCAAACCACTGGAACTCTTCTCCCCACCGCACAGTGTAGCACCAGTTATGCCTGTTTGGATTCCTCATTCATCAATGTCCCTTTCAAATGCACTTTCACAACACCCTTCCTAACATTTCTGGTTAGATGTGATCTTTTCTTTTAATCCTCTGCAGAACCACATATCTCCATTCAGAAATTTATTTGCTTTACTCTTTCCATAGCTATAAAGTACACCTACAGGAGCTACATCTTGACTCTCTTTGAATACTCTGAAAGGCCTAGCCTCATACATTGGAACTTATTGGTATGTTGTTACTACATTGAGCTCACTTGAGGCTTTCTAATTATACTAAGGATTTCTGACTTATTCAAAGTCTAACATCTAGTGAGTTGGCCAAATAGAACTAATAAAATCAATAATCTAGGGTGTGACTAGACTCTATTTTGAAGAACTAAGGTTCAAAAGTATATATTATTTCTGCTACATATTAAGCTATAAAAAATATGAATTTGAAGGGTTTTAGTCAAGTGATCTTACACTAAGATACAGCACAAGCATTTAATTTACGTAAATCCTGGTTTCTCTGTATATAAGAAGGTAATAATTGCATTAGCCTAATAGGCTGTAATAAGGACTGAGTAATGCCCACCAAATGCTTAGATAAGGCCTAGTATATTGTGACTACTCAATAAACATAAACCAGTGTAATCATAATTCCATCATCATTATTTATCACTCAAACTATTAATAAAAATGGTTCTGAAAGTCTTTCATGTAAGAGATCCTGCTAGAATACAGTGATCTAATTTGGGATCCGTCAATACACAGTAATCAAAAAATCTTCAAGAGTACTCCAAAGCCACCAACTGCGGAGAATAAAGTATACAAGAATAATATATAGGAGGAAGTATTAAAAGAAATTAAAATAATGGTACTTAAAATGTGTTTGATGAAAGATTTAATATTTGTCTCAAAATATTTAGAATTCAGAAAATGAAAACAGCAACTGAAGTTAATATTCCAAGAAGAATAATTTCCAAAGAGAATATTAACTTCCATCCAGTGTTAAATGCTGAAAGCTATATAGACCAAGAAAAATGCCTCTGCAGCATATTAGAATAGCTATCAAAGGAGCTGTGGAATCAACTACATCTTCAATGTCTGGGATAATGTTAATATAAACTCATTTAAATAAAGGATGGCAGGTGGTTTCTAGTCTTTCCCATACATAACACAGTGGGGGGGGGAGAGGTGGGGAGCTGTCATGGAGTCAGCAGACTGCTCTGCACTCTTACCTGAACTCTCATCCAGGCTCTCCTCAGAGACGTGCTCATTTTGATGGACCCACTCGCCATTGCACTTGAAGAATATCTGCATGGCTGGCCTTGCTTTGCACCTGAGTGCAATAGGGTTACTTTTGATGATGTAAGCATCATCTGGTTCCTCTATGAAATGAGGCAGTGTCCCTGGAGCTGATGGGATGGAATCAGGAAGAACTTCACCGTTGTCGGTTCCTATGAAATTGAAGAGAACATCAGAACACAGCTTAAATTGAAAGTTCATAAATGAGAACAAAATACTGAACTCACACCATCTTTAGGAACATAGGCTGGAAAACTCATCATGTTAGTATGATATGCCTGAAAGACTGGCATAGATGAAAATCTTCTAGAAGCTCAGCAAGCATAATATAGTACCTTCGGGTGTACAGACCTTGAGTCTGTTGGACAAATGAAAATAATGAATATGAGAACCCTAAAACTTGAGTTTTGAATCTGAGTGTTGTGGGATAAATATTTGTGGGGTTGGTCTGACCTCAAGTTCACTTTGGCAAGTCATCATCTCAGAAGAGTCAACAAAGACAGCAAACTGCCTCAAAATCTTTAAAAAAAATGAGGAGAATCGATATTGTCCTCCCACATCTGAGTGAACAGAGGTGATCATGGTAGAAGGTACTCAGTCAGAAGATAGCTCCCCAAATTAAAAACTGTTCCCCATTTTTTTTAAACCTATGAAACTGGATTATCTGGCATCCTACCTTAGATAACTCACCAACTAACTATCTCTTCAAAATGAATGTGGGTTCATTCTCCTTGCCTTCGGCCCACTCTCTGCCCCCAGCACTTCACCATGACACACTAGGAATTGCACTAATCAAGGCTGAGAATTAAAACACAGCAGTAAAATAGCTCTGACCATGTAGTTAGCAGCTATGATAACATCTGTTCAAAGGGAAGGCACAGATAGGGCTCTCCCTTAACCTCAGGGAAGTGATGAAGCATTATTAAAAAGAAAAAGCTAGAGCCAAGATTTTGCTTCCTGCCTCTGCTCTACATTCAGCAAGGACTTAAATCCTGGGAAACACCACAAGATCAGGGATACAGATGTGTGAGTGGTGAGCATCGAGGAGACAGCCAGGACAGGTATCCTGTGGCTTTCAAAAGCCATCCCACTAGAAGATTAAAGAAAGCAAAGATTTCAATACCAAGGTCAACTAAGCTGTTGGATAGGCCTTCAGACCAAACCACTGTTCAAACCTATAATGAGAAAAGTCACCTAGTGAACTACTTGAAAAACAATTACACCCACCAGATCCAACTCCCAGGAGAGAGCCTGTGACCCAGCTTGGCTTTCTGCATGCCATCAATTACATTTGGGATGGAATGTCTTATCATTCACACTTAAGTCAACAACTTAAATTAGAAAGCATTGTCAAAGGTAATTCATTATTTTAGGAAAAATTCTCAATTACTAAGAAACAGGGAGAGCAGGGGCTTTAACAGGTATTTTATATAACGAAGAAAATAAAAGACACTGAGTTTTAAAAACAAGTCTCCTTACCACAGGGAACACACAAGCAAATTTGCTACTGCAATGAATTAAACATAATAATAGCTTGATTGTCCCAAACAAGATTTTCTCCCTATTAAATACATGTTAAGGGGAAAAAACAACCTCAAATAACAAAAGAGCTTAAGGGATTATAAGCCTTCCATTTGCAATGGAAAAAAATAACTCATGTGTAAGCAATTGGAAGCATCAAAAAATCATTATAAAGCAAGTATTCTCAAAGCTAAGGACAAAGAGTTTATTTTATGAAATTACAATAAAGTCACTCAGAAAATAAAATGTGTATAGGTCATAGGGAGTAAGAGCGATTTCATCATAGAATTATAGGGGGGTGTTTTAATACATTAAATTTATTTACAATGGACTTTGTAAAATATTTATTATTTTACTACTGATGCTCATGCCAATTTCCACCTTCAATAAATACCAAGTCCCTGCAGGATTTTGTAAACCCATGCATTAGAGGAAATGACAAAGGTATTAAAAGATTTTATATGGGCATCAAATGCTCACACACCCACCAGGGGCTTGAGCTATGGCCAAAGTAATTCATTGTTGCATTAAAGGGTCACCTGATAAAGCATACACAGCATATCCAAACCTAGAGAGCTAGCCTGAGTGAGCAGACATACATTTTGATAGATGCATTTTTGCTTAACAGGTAGGAATGCATATGAATGTGTCTGAAAAGTAACAATCTGAAAAGGGAGGGGGATGAGAAAGGGGTCATAGCTCTAAGTTAATAACAAGAGCACATTTATCCAATATAAATAAAAATGTCAAAAAACATAGGCAGTAGATTACATAATAAATCAAGTTTTAACTATCAACTCACAAAACATAGATCTAAAAGCAATTAGTTTACCCTCTTGCCATTTTCTTAATGCCTTTTAGATAAAGTATGCAGGAGAGAGGAATGAAGAAGTCTGAGGGTAAGTGTCCTGGCTGCCCAAGGACCTTCCTTAAGAGTCAATCAATCTTAATGTTCAGAGGAGAGAAAGAAAAAATAATAGAATGGAACATTTTATCTTAATTATTACTGAAGCAATGTCAAAACTATGCATACATCAAAGGCTAGGATCCATGAAAACAAGAAACAAAGGAAAATGATTTATTAGAATGCAGGGGAAGGTGAGAGATTGTACATACACATATACATTTTATATGTATTATCATTTAACTGCATCCTTCCAACAAATAAAGGAAGTAAGTGGAAAAGGTGCACAAGATATTTTTCCTGTTTTTGCTTTGCATAGTGAAGTGTTTGAGTGATTTTTATCTAATGCTGTCTATCCAGGGAAGGTCCCTTCTCCCCACTCACCCATGGGGTCAGGCTCTAATCATGGGGCAGCAACACCCTGCCTGAGGTTGGATTCCTGGTAGCCAGGAGTCTGGATCCCTCTGCAAGCAGCCTCTCCAGGATACTCCTTCCTGACCCCATAGGACCAGGACACCTTCCTCTTGCTCACCCCATCCATGCCCATCGGGCTCAGCCCTACCTAATGGTTTGGAACTGAATTCTTCAGGAAATTCTTAGGGGATTCTTTAAGGAAAGAGAAGGGAAAAAAACAGAGGAATAGAAACTGAAGTGGGAACCATTTTAGAGGCTTGAAATTGCTCACAGAGTGTGTCGATCAGAAAGGAGTCGACGTGGGGGAAGGTCATTTACTTTAATAAATACTTTTGTAGGAGACTGCAAGAATACTTTTCTGCTTTCAGGAAAACTGTCATCTTAATACATTTACAATTACTTATAATTCAGAGAAAAGTTTTAAGATCTTGTATGACAAATGCTAGTGACAAAGGCCACCCAACTGTGTTCTTCCACATCACTTCTACAGAAGAGGCTGGAAAAGTCAGGACTCAGGTGACATCCTTGGGGGTGGGCATGGTAAAGTGTCACTCATCTAGCCACTGAGTCATAAAACAGACACTTGCATAAAAGCTCTTATTTCCCTGATTAAAGGTGTGGGTTGTACTGTCCTTCTCCCTATGTTCCTTAACTAGGGAAGATTATAAGGAAAAGTACAGAAGGAACAATCCAGTCCCTGACTGTGGGGAAGTCCCACAGTGAAATGGCTGAGAGCCAGAAGCAACACCAGGAGACACCCATCCCAGATATTAGTGGATGGCTTTTAACAAATCCCTATTTGCTTAAAACGTCTGATTGTCAAGATTTTTCTGTTACTTGTGGAAAAAAATATTCCCCATGGATGCAGCTTGGTCTTTCTCCTTGAAAACAAAAAGCCAGAACTCTAAGCTTCATTTTATAAATGCCAATGCCAACAGCATATAAGAAAAGAGTTTTGGTAAGCTAAGGAATGTGAAAACTCAGCCAGCAGGAAATAAAAGTAAAAACTGCCACTTACTGATTGGTACAGGTCATGCAATATCCCTCTACCTGGATTCAATACACTCCCAGGCCAGTACTGCAAATATCCCATTTTGCATTTGAGGAAATGCTTGGATTGTATGTCTAGTCTAAGGCCATATAGCCAGTAAAGGGTGGACTCAGAATTTGAATACAGGTATCTGACTAACCAGCTCACAATGCCATTTCAGTTCAGGTGACAAAAACTGCAAGCCTGCTACTGTGATTTAGTGAGTGTCTGCTTGCAGTTCATAAAACCAAAAAGGTGAAATAAAAGGACACATTATCTGCATGGCATCTCACCATTTCCATTAAATATGACATTTGTCTTAAAGATCATGTAGTTACCCTGTCAGCTAGCCTATGAAGACAGGCCAGGATGGCTGTTATGGACACATTCCAGAGAAAATTTTGAAAAATAAATATTTTGAAAGAACAAGTACTCAACCAACTCTACTCAAATTAAGAGGCATCCTCACCAAAGTTAGAATAAATTCAGGGAATGGAGTATAGCTCAGTGGTAGACTGCTTGCTTCACATGCTTAAGGTCCTGAGTTTAATAAAAAACAGAAGAAGTCAAAGAAGAGTCATTGTTTGAGAAAAAAATAATGAAGATTTTTCTACGTATCATTTGGAAATCCATATGCCTTGTTAAGCAGGAATATTGAACAAACACACCTTCAACTAAAACACAGGACTATTAACAGAAGACAGTGTACCTCTGCAAGAAAAAAGGGAGGGGACAAAGGCATTGTCATTCCACCCCTTTTAACCACAAAAAAAACTGTGGATATTGACAACTTGATGTATTAAATTACTAATGAAAATGCACACACTGCATGTCACAGTCACCCCAAATCAGGATTCATGACAGCCTGGACTACCACCCATGGGGTGATATGATGAGTGAAGTTGAGCTTCAACAGGTTTGAATAATTCTAAGTTATACTTTTTTTTTTTCTTGAGAGGCCATAACATTTAAATATACTTTTAAAAAAAAAATCTCCTGTCTCTAGAGTATGCTCGTATTTTTACCATAATTGTATTTGTTTCAAATTGTAATCAGCAACCATAAAACAATGCAAACACTCAATCTGGTGACACAGAAGAACTTTAGAATCAAATCCCCAGACCAAGTCTAGTTTACTGTAACCTTGCATTTGGCAGTTGACCCCAAGGGCCTGTTTTTCTTACCCATAAAAATAGATGATTAAAATCTACTAGTATTTTGTGATATTAAATAGAGATATTTAACAAATGTAGTCAATGATTAAATGCTACATAAATGTCATG